ATATACATATATATACTTATTATAGATCGATTTATTGTTCCTAGTAATTTTGATTTCTAAGCTATCACTTATCAAGAGCCTAGTATATGGCAGGCAAGAGGAAATGGGTTTTTATATCCATGTTCTCAATCCTTATCAGCATTGCTTGGTAAGTCCTGTTATCCCCTCTGTGCAGAGGAGGAAAGTCCAGCTCGAAGACAGGAAAGAAATTCCCACAAGGCTGCAGAGAAAAAGCCGCCAGACTGAGATTCCGACGCAGGTCTATCTGCCCACAAATTCTTGCTCCTTTTCATTGAGCCATGTGTGTTGAAAAAGCAAACTATGACTCGGAAAGAAAAAGATCCTGTGTCTCCCACACAATTCCTGGAAACAATTTCAACAACAGGTTGAGGGAATGTGTGGTGGGAGCCTGGGAGGGAGAGGAGAGAAAGGGACACCGAAAGCCATCTATCTCCTCCTCCCCCGGGCGATGCTTGTTGTATGAGAACTGCTCCTTCAAGGACACCAGGACCAGATGGCTCTGTATCCTTTCCTGCCATTTCTTACTTTGGGACAGAGAGGACCAGAGCTGACATGCTGAGGACTCTTGTTGGTCTGGGGCTGAGCCCAGCCAGCGGGCAGGCAGTTTGTGTCCACAACTTGCAACAAAGGCTCCCGAGTGGAGATGGGTGAGGTCTCGCTGTGGCCACTCTGCTCCTATCTCCTTTGGCGTGTCTGGCACACAGGGGGTTCCCGTCAGCACACGTGCAAGACGTGCTCAGCCTCTGATGCAGGTTCCTCTCAAAGTCAGCTTCTGAACCACGGAGGGGCTTATGTATGGGAGAACATGGAAAACAAGGCCATGCACTAAGAGAAAGGACAGGAACAACTCACCGAATGCGTGAGGACCTCCTCCCCTCCCCACTGCTCAGGGTCGGCCCCCAGCACCTCCATTTAACTTTGGTTCCCCTGCCTCTCCCCTCCTCTTCCACACACACCCAGTCCTTGTCAACATCTTCGCCTGCCCAGGTTGCAGAAGGTACCTGCCCTCCTGGGTGTTTTTCCCATGGACCAAGACGTAGAACGACTTGAATTTCAGGCGCAGATTCTCCCTGTCCCAAATGTGTGACTTTGGGCAACCTTGGCTTCTCTGTGCTTCAGGTTTCATCACCTGTGAAACGTTCTACAGTCCCAATTCAATCCGAGAGGCATCCCGGGATTAATGTATTAACCTTTCTGGGGCTCTCTGTTGGTGGAGGAATGGGGGATGGTGGTGGAAGGGAGCAATGATTAACCCAAAGGAATTAATGTCTAAGAGCAGAATTTCAAGTACCATTACTAGGAAGTTGAGAAGATGTTTCTGGGTGACAGGAAGGGTCTTCCTCTAGTTATTAAATTTTCCACTGCCAACTCTGTGTCTATGTAGAGCAGATTCAGATACTGCCCTCACCTGTCCCAGGGGATGAGCCTCTTCAAAAGAAAGAGGGACACGTGTCCCCTGAGATGGCATTTCCAGGCCCTTCCTACACTTCGGCCCATTGTTCCCTCTTTCTGTAGCATGAATGACAACGAATCTCCCACAGCTTTGCATTGTTTCCTTGGAAGTATTTTATAGAGTCTGTCTATGCCCTTGGTTCTCCCCCTCCCGTCTGTACTTTTCCAAGATTCTTTACACTTACAGTACAGGCTGAGCCCTCCAGCCCTCGGTCCCACTGAGCTGTCATCCTATTTTCTGAAAGTCTTTTCCTCACATCCTTCCTGTGCTCCAGGGCCCAGAATAGCACTTGTCCGTCTGGCCTCCCAACCTCACACTGGATTCCCCTTGCTCAGGGTTACTTTCCCAGAATAGCCACTTCATAACAGGATGGCGGAATCCACCCGGTTCCAAGGCACCCTGCTCACTCGGGAAAACTGAAAACCAACCACCAAAGAACCTTCCCTTCCCTGCTCGCCTTCCTCACCCTCACTACCTTGGATGCTGCCAACCTGTAGTGCCACAATAGGCGACACTACCCACTGCCCCGATTCCTCACAAAATTGACTGTCACATAGGATCTGAAACTGGGAAATTCCTGAGGCCACCTCTTTCGGTCAGGACTAACAGGAAATGGCTTTATGAAGAATGTAAACTCTGAGAAAAAAAATGTTTTGTGAACTTGAGACTTACAGAGATACCAGGGAGGGTGAGAATGAGTTAGTTCCACGGGGAGGTGGTTATCTGTCAAAGACGCCCCAGTGTGAATGAGTGTGGCTGGGCCAGGTGCCTTACAGACAGCATCTTGGTTAATTCTCACTGACACCTTGTGTAATATGCATTTTTAACCTCTTTTTATAGTTGAGGAAACCAAGAGCAGAGACACCAAATAATTAGCCTGGCGTATTGGCTAGGAAGAGGGGAAGACCGTCTGGGCACATCTCTGCCCTTTTGGAGAAGGTAGCTGGGAGACAAGCTCTAAAACACTTCCTAGAGTGGAGTGTGGGTCGTACGGCCAATGGGAAGGCAGCTGAGAGGCCAGCAAAAGCTGCTTTGTTCTCCCAGCCCCCCTCTCCTCTCAGCCTCCAGGTGCCCCTGCGTTTCTTTGGTCCCGTCCTTGCCCTTCATCTCATGGCTGTATTCATGGTGAAGGTCATGGCTGGAAGAGAGGAGTGTAACATGGAGGAGGAAAGCACTAGTGATGGTGTTTCTGTGGGTGGACATTTTGCAGAGTGGGAGTTCCCGGGTGGGGAGACCTTCCCAGTGGCCTTCTAACTCTGGCACAACAGAGCCTCCTGGGCGAGTCTACCAGCCTCACCTGAGGACAGGAGCTTGTGTGTTCGCAGGAAGCTGATAGCTAGCCGCATGATGGAAGCCTTGTCCAGGTGGGAGCTCACACTGTGAGGCAGGGGCAGCTCGTGGGCCAGCTCGTAGAAGACCTCCGTCTCCTTGCTCCTTCGGCACCTTGCTGCATCCCGGGACTTCTCCTTCCTCCTCTCCGAGCTACTCCTAGATTGAGAGACAAGGGGTTAGTCCCTAAAATGTCACTGTCATTCCATCATACCCTTGATCAAGACATCCCGAGGGCTCCCCACCCAGGGTACGACCAAGCTCTCACATTGAACCAATACGTGCTCACACCAGTCATCTGAACCTCACAACCTGCTTTCTACTGTGAGCTCTGCTCACATGGGTACTGTCTTCCTGCCTGCTTTGCTCCCTCTGTCTGCCCAGACAGGGCTTCACATGGTGGGGTCTGAGCAAAGACTAAATTCACCCACTGGCAATGCCTTGGCCCTGGTCCTGGTTATCTTGGCGCTGAGGTGAATGTTCAGTTCTATACACTCAAATTATTTAAATTGCTTAACCTCAGTTTTCTCATCTGTAGAATGGTCATAACAGTACTTATTCTCCACAGAGTTATTGTGAGGATTAAGTATGACAATTTATGCAAAACCTTTAGCATCAGGCCTATCTCCACTGGAAGCAATCAATGTTAGCTAATGTTAATAACAAATCTGTCCATGAAAGGATGATCATGAGAATAAAGACATTGCCAAAGTCTACGGTACAACCCAATTTTCATAGAAATATATATAATAGTTCTTGTATATTATATTGTAAAAAATCTAGAAAATAGAATAAAATAACTATTCTTCTTAGAGCTATCATATGTACAGTGCGTACTATATTCCAGGCACTGGTTTAAGCACTACTACTGTAGCTTCTTTAATTCTTACAAGTACCCCTGCAAGTCGTCATTAGTATCATCTCTAATTTACAGATGAGGAAATGGGTCCATCGAGGCCAATTTCTCTGCAGCTTCTCTGCATGTACATGGGGAAGCGGGGCTCGGCACCAGCAGGTGGGCCCCAGAACCATGGAGGATTGATTGTCTTGTCTCTCTATAGACAAACATGGTAGCAGTTTTAGGTTGGTGAGCATATGGGGATTGTTTTTTCCCTTCGTGCTTATCTGTATTTTCTTATGTTTCTAGAAATAACATGTATCGTGTGGTTGGTAAACAATTTTTTTTTCAAGTGTCCAGTGCAGTATGGCCCTCAAGGCCTCATCCAACCGGCTCCAGCTCACTGTCTCTGTCCTCCCGCCTGAGATTCCAGGCCAGGGCTGTGCTCCTCTTGTCTGGCTTCGCCGCCTCTAATCTGGACAGAAAATCTGTATTTTGGGATTCGTGGAATGTGGACATGCCTTTCAAACCCTTCAGGATCTGGGGCAGAGGCACGGCTTTGACTTTACAACACGTTTCATTTTAAAAAACAGAACATCCAGCTCCCTGGATGGATTAAGCACTATTTGCCCAGACGGCAGAAAGAATGTCCAATAGCTGTTAATGGTCAAGAAGAACCTTCCGAAAAACTGTGAAAATGGTGAAACTGTTTTTTTTTTCTTTCTTGTCTTATCTCTCTTTTATGTTTCCTTCACCTAATCCCTGGTCCCTCCTCTCCCCCCGACTTCCAATTCCCAGAACTCCCTCCCTTGCACCCCACCCATCACCACCCTCTCGGATCTGCCTCAGGATCAAGTTGCTTTTGCACCAGACCTTTCGTGACAGTTTGCATATTAGCTTCTCCCACTTGCATTTTAGTTCTGACCTCTGATTGTGGAGAAAAAGCAGCTGTGCAAGGTTCGCAGGCATCCTGGCACAGGAAGTAAGGGTGGGAAGGGCACAGGACACTAAAACTGTACACATCACCCTGTATGTCATGAAAGCCAGTGTCTCAAAGATGCTGATTCCATTCTCCAGCACCAACCCTGGCAACCCCAAGCAACATCAACATGTGACCAGTCGTCAGGGGCACCTAGAGAAGCCATCCTGGGGTGGGAAAGGTCCCCAGAACAGACTGTGACATTAACACCATTGTGTGTGTGTGTGTGCGCGCGCGCGCGCGTGCACAGAATGGCCCTTTGCCATTGTCCCTTCCTTAGAGCGAAGAGCAGACGAAACAGAGAGAACCAGGAAGGGAAAAAGCAGTCTGGGGTCAGCGCTCTGTCTGGTAATGGCATTTGACATTTGGGTCCTACCATGTTCCCTGGACCTGCAAATATTCATTGACACCTACTTTTGTGCCTGGTGTTGCACCAAGTACCTTACAGATATTACATCATTATAATCCTCCTAACAACACAATATGGTAGGGTTTTGTGAGCACAATTTACACATGTGGAAACTGTGGCTCAAACATAATATGCAACTTGCCCAAGATCACAAAGCAAGTGTCTGCATAAGCCCTTGGAGATTGTCAGTGAGCAAGGCACTTACAAGTCCTGAGACACATGGGTGCTCCCTGTCTAATTCCATCCTCAGAACCATCTTGCGAGATGGGCAAGACAGGAATTGCTGCTGTCCCCATTTCACAGATCTGGAAACTGAGGCCCAGCCCAGTTAAGTGACTTACCAAAAGCCATCTAGCTGATTAGTGGCAGAGCTAGGGCTAGGACCCATCTCTTCCTAGGCCGATACACTTCCCACTGCTTAATGGTAGGAGATAGTGGCTTTAGCAAGAAATAAAGAGCCAGCAACATCTTAACATTTAGAAAAAGAAAGATTGAGAATCTCACACAGCCTTTTGGTTTTTAAAAGTCACGACTCCATTTTAGCTACCTGGTTTTTAGTTGCACTTTGGGGACTAACATGACTTTAATGAAGTTATCTAGTTCAACTTGACACAGCCCAGAGTTATCTGCCTAATGTTGACTCTGGGAAGAGTCAACACTGTCATGTGTAACACTGTCATGATTTCATTAGCAACACCGAAGAACAAGTATAATTAATGCCAAGTGTGAAGGTAAGACTCCCCCCCCGCCCCTAAGCCCAACTGCTGCATATACAGTCTACTTCCTCACACCATTTATCATGGGTTAGGTCTCTTAGCAAATAGAATAGGGGACTGAAAGTTAGGAGGACTGATGTTTTAATATATTGGCCACAAACTATCTAGCTATCTGACTTTGGACAAGAAAGCGCATTCTTTGTGCCTTTATAGCCTCATCTGTAAAATGGGAGAGATCTCATGCCTTATTTGTAAGGATCAAATGAGATGAGCTTAGAAGGGTTGGAAGTACAGGTGTACCTTGCTTTATTGAACTTCGCTTTATTGCGCTTTTACAGATGTTGCGTGTGTGTGTGTTTTTTGTTTGTTTGTTTGTTTTTTACAAATCAAAGGCAAGACCCTCCACAAGCAAAGCTTACGACTTACTTTATTGCGGTCTTCTGAAACGGACCCGCAATATCTCTGAGGTATGCCTGTGCCAGAAAGCTCTCCACAAATGGAAACCATCATGACAGACAATAACGATTCCGTTATCTGGCTGAGTATTAGTCACATTCAGACTTTGGCCATCACAGCTGTTCTTCATCGCCAAACCGCCTCAGGGCTGGAGGCATATTTGGGGTCAGGCTGATCTTGACCAGTTCTTTGGGTCATGTTGCTGAACCTTCTTCGGACAATCAGGCTTTGTTTCCTAAAATACTCAAACTTTATTTTCGCTCCCTAGATGGGTTCTAGAATTAACTGCAATAGACCAGCTTTTTAAAAAAAATGACCATTCTAGACACGGCATGTTAGAATACTCTGGTTTCTTGTAAAAAGATATTTTATCCTAAGTTTTCCAAATCCTCAGAAAAGACTCGGAAATGTATTTCCTACTCCACGTTGCTCTTTTGACAAAGTTCCTGCGCCTGTCTTTCTTGGTGGCCTGGCTGTGACCACAGGCTGGTCTTACACAATATTTTGTGTATGGGACACGCAGCGTAAACCAGGCCCTGGGTACCTGGGCCCGCGCGCAGACGCAGAGTTGTTTACCAAGCTCTGTGCTGGACCCGTGGACCTGCAGGGTGGATAAGAAGTACATTCCTTGTTTTCAAGGAGAATGCGTTCTAGTTAGGGAAACAACAACTTGAAACATTTCTATTAACTACAAAACAAGTACAAACAATAAGCTGTATGGGTGGTTAAGATAAGAAGCAAGCTGTGAGTAAACAAGGTGAGGGAGGCAGGGTTTCAGCTGATCCTAGGAGAACACACAACAATACCTTGGTGGTGTTTGCAGGGCTCAGAGAACACTTTTTGTTCCTACCTGTGTTATCTCATGCGAGTCTCACAACAGCCCTGAGAGATAGGGACTCTCATCCCCAAGAACTGGGGATTCAGGGGGATTAAGTAACTTGTTAAATTAGATATTGTCTCAGACCTAGTTCATCTGGGTCTCCAGGATCAAAGGTTTCTTCTCCAACGGCAGCAAGGAAACGGTTGCTTATTGGATGCCTTCGAAATGCACGGCGCCGTGTTAGATACTTGCCCACAAATTGGGTGTTCGTGTACAGGACAGGAGGAAGAGGAAGGTTAAAGCTTTGAAAAGAGACAGTGACATCAAGATTCCACGGGGGATGGGAGGAGACTCTGTCCTTAAGTGAGCACCCACTCACGCGGGGAAAAGACCTAGACATCAGGAGTAGGACTAAAAACCCATCTCGGAATTCGAAAGGGGAGTGAGTAGGAAGAAGGGAATCAGTGCTGTCGGCTCCGCAGGAGGCTGCCTCCATCTCTGCAGGGGCTGGGCTGGGGTGGTGGTGTCAGAAGGGACTCCCTAGTGCTCCCTAAAAGCTGCGGGGCCAACCTGCATGTGTGTCTCTCTCCATGGAGAACAAGCAGTTTCTGTCTGTATTTTTTTTCTTCTACATCTTAATATACACAAATTTATATTTAAGTCCCCCGAGTTGGAAACTCAAAGTCTGAGACATCGGATCCCACCAGAGGGAAGTATCCATTGAGAGCCAGGCAGCCCATCAAAAGGCAAAACAAACGTGACTGTCCTAGAGCTCCAGCAGGTATACGCTACAGTTCAACCAAGACAAATCTCTTGGTCTAGGGCTTCGTTATCTTAAAAATGTCTCCTTAACTTCTGGGTCATGGCTCCAAGGTGGCACCATTGTCCGCTCTTGGGCAAGCTGATCCTGGTTTCTGGCTTCCAGGTGAACATAACCTGGCGGGATGTTCAGGATGTCACCAGCTGCACCCACGGGGTTGGTTGCTTAATTAGCGACTGTCTCCTGATGTTCAGTACAATCAGGACTGCCCCACGTAACACCTGGGGGCCATCAGGGTCTCAAAACTGAATGTCCATTACCTAAAAGGTTCGATGGCTGGGGAGCAGAATGGGTTACGGGTCAGGGGGAGAGGCTGAAGCTAATGAAACCATCTTGGATGAGTCTATTGGCTGGTGGTGAAATTCTAAGCGGGTACCAGTGTGCAGGAGCTGTGAATGGAGGAAATGAGGTCAAATGCAATGAGGAGGAGCTCCCATGACCTCCCCTCCCCCAATGAGGCTGCCAGAGGGAGGAACACGCCTGCTTCAGGTCCCAGAGAAGAGGATGAGTGGCTGGCCCGCACAGCTAGGGGGTGACTACCTCGTGGATTAACCAAAGCCAGTGCTTCTCAATCTTGGCTCCTCACTGGAACCATCAGAGGAGCCTTATAAACTGACGCCTGGGTCCTTTGTGGATTCCACGGAATAGATCTGGGGTCCAGCCTGAGCACCAGGGGTTTAAAGCTTCCCATGTGATGCTCTAGGGCTGGGAACCGCTGTGGCAAAGCAGTCAGCTTTAAGATAAAAAGCCCCCCCTTTTATTTTTGGTGGAAGGCAAAGGAAACTGATACTGACTGAGCCCTGGGGGCTAGGTGCATTCCGTAAACCATTTCATCTGACCCTCATTTAAAATACGCAGTCTTTTTGCCTAGCAGTGGTTTGCAACTTGAGGCTATGGCTTATTAAACGACAGGTTTCTGGTGCTGTGGTCACACGTCTTTGGAGGACTGACACCCAGCCTGCTTCTTAACCCTAACCATACTCTTTCCCTCTGAAATGCACCGAGTCCGCATTCACTATGGTCAGCAAGTTTGGAGTCACCACCAACAGCCAGTCATTTATCGGGGAGCTTGTGTGCCTATCACTGTACCAGATGCTGTAACTGACAGAGAGAGGCAAAAGTAAGGAGGCAGCGATTTGAATGGCTGCCACAGAAAAAGCAGCTGCCCCTCAAAACAGCCACCTCGGGAGAAGCTACAAACTTCACTCCTGCAAAGTGGTCGATGTGCTAAGCATTTTGGGGGGTCTTTTTAGAATTAGTTACAGAGCCCCACAAGAAAATCAGTCATAATACTTCATAAACCATGCTTCGTTTTAAATTCCAAACAATATTCTCCCGTTTAGCCACCCTGAGGGTGGAATTTGGTTGTTTAAAAGAATAAAATGTGCCCTCAAAGATAAGGCCTTGCCACAATGGAAGGTTTCCGAAAGAATGGCCTTTGGCTCTGCGGGCAATCCGAAAGGTGTGGCAAAAATGTTTTAGAAGAGGGAGTGTTCTGGTGACCAGCTCTCCGGGGACATTCTGATGTCGTCCAAAGGCAGTAATGATCAGCAGGGGGATCTATTGTAAAAGGGAGGAAAGGGCATCAACATAGGCCCGTCAAAATGGAAGAAATCTAATTCAGGAGGAACTGGGCAGATCAAACCAACCTGGTCTCTGCCCTGAAAGAGACCACAGCCTCCTGGGAGATAGTAATACTACAGGCTAGTACATTGAACGTCCTAAAGAGGGGATACACAGAGGAGGTGAGGGCTGGAGTGGCTAAAACAGGAATGGATGTTTGCACTGACCCCTTCTCTGGATGAGGAATCCTGAAAAGTGTCTCATACCTCAACCTCCCCACCTCCACTCCTCTGGGCTGAGCCCCAGCTCCCTGCTCACTCTGTGCCCCTAGAGGGAGGGCCTGGACTGCATTCAGAGCTGACAGTAATGTCTGAGGCCCACCCAGCATGGCCCTCTAATGGTCAATTCTGCTTGGGGCCCACTGGAGATGCTTATCTGGTGGCCTTCTCTGCTCCAGGCAGCCTCGGAGAAGAAAGCAGCAGATCCAATTACTGAGCAGTCCCATCGGTACTGCCCATCTGGCCCCAGATAACCCAGCTCCTTCCATAATCGGAGGACGTGCACAGTCCCCAGCCCATCTGGGAGAAGCCGTGCACGTACAGGAGTAACAGTGACAAACTGTCCCTATGCTTAGCTTCACCAAGCCCAAGCATTAGCAGGTTCTCTTTGTTCAACCTATTAATGAGTAATACCACTGTAAGCCTGTATCATTCATTATAAAGTGCTTTACAAGTAGATCCGTAAATCTTCCCAGTAGGATAGAAAGAGCAGATATCATGTTTCCCATTTTAGAGATGAGGAAAATTGAGGCTCACAAAGGTGTGGAGTTGGAGCATAATCCCTGTGCTCTCTTTTAAGAACACACAAACAGAGAGCCCATTGCCAACCAGCACTACACCTACCACATAATTGGAAATGGGCCTTCATCATGCATTACCATCTCATAACCTCGTTTATCCTAACAGATCATTTCCTTTTTTAAAAAAAGGCTATGGTATGGGTGCCTGGCTAGC